ATTAGGGTTAGTGAGCCTCGTGGGCCCCACTACCCACCAGGGAACGCCAGAGGGGGTGGCGCACCCTGGTGCCTAGTGGGCAGCTGCCCTCCCCCCCTCCAGTGGGTCCTGGTTCTAGTATTTTTCTTTTATTCCAAAATAATTTTCCAAAAAGTTTCGTCCAATTCCGAGAACTTTTATTTCTGCACAAAAACAACACCACGGTAGTTCTGTTGAAAACAACACCAGTCCAGGTTAGTTTCATTCAAATCATGCAAATTTGAGTCCAAAATAAGAGCAAAAGCGTTAGGAAAAATAGATACGACGGAAACGTATGAAAGGGTGCGGCTAAGTCTTGTGAGTAAAGTAGACAAACCTCCGGAGAGTGTGTAAACCGGACATGATTAGCCGTGTCCTCGGTTATGGGCAACTTTGAGCAACATGCTTGAAAACTGTTCGGAAGATCTCATCATCATCTCAATAATTAAAACTTAGTGGATTGAACAATTGGAAAGGTCTATGCTTAGTTACACTAATGGTGTGATACTATTGGTCGAACTAGTGGGCTAAAGGTCTAGGACTGCCGTGCTACGAATTATTGTTTGATGTAGTATGTCCTATGTATAAAGTAGATCCACTTATATACAAAGATTGTATAGATATATCACTTTACACAAACGAAGCAAAATTTCCACTTATCCCAAAAGCATGTCGGTGAGATAAGACTATTATAATTCTTGTAGAACTTGCCAATACATTCACCGCATTGATGCCTAGCGGCTGCAACGTATCATGTTGCAGGTGACTACTTCGAGGAGTGACTTATGATATGGCTACGTGCATCCACTCAACATGGTTACTCGTGTCATAGATGGAGCTCTACCAAAACTACTTCATTAGGATTTGCTTATGTTTCCATTGTCGTTAACTCTTTGAGTTCATAAGATTATTCATTTGGCTAACCTCTAATAGTGGTTTGTATGACTTATGTTTGATAATAGATCGGTATCGTCTATGCTGACAATTCGGTCCAGGGGCTGGCATGATAAGCACTTGGAGCATCAGCAGAGGAATAGCATCCATGTGAGTTAATTGCAAGAAACTACCACACTGCGGCATGTTGTAACGAATCAGTATCATTAGTCATATTTTTTGCAATTCAGTATCAATTCTAAGCCTAAGTGTTGCAAAACGGTCTGACAGCCGTATAAGCACGGATGGCCTGTCTATCTGACCAAGCAGGCCCATGTGCCAGGTGACACGGCAGCATACCCACGCGTGTCGCACCGCTGACTCGGGCCCACCCGGCTTGGTCGTTGTTTGTGACTCGGTCGGGTCAAAGACCGTTTATACGGCTGTCATACCGTTTTGCAACACTTAGGCTTAGAGTTGATACTGAATTACAAAAAATGTGACTAATGATATTGATTCATTACGACGTGCCGAAGTGTGGTAGTTCCTTGCTATTAACTCCATCCATGTGGGTGAGGTGAGCCCTTCCCTTCCCTTCCCACTTTCTTTTTTGCAAATGGCCGCCTGCCAGAGACCCGAAGCTGTGTGGCTCCTGTGATTTCCAGAACCTTATTAAGGGCAGATACATAATGGAGGGGATAGTAATTTTGCATGAGGCCCTGAATTCTTTTCACAAGAATAAAGAACATGCCCTAATTTTTAAAGTAGACTTTGAGAAGGCGTATGATAAAATAAAATGGCCCTTTGTGATTCAAATGCTGAAAATGAAATGATTTCCTGATAAATGGTGAGACTGGGTAATGGAAACTATGAGAGGGGCACATGTTGGAATTAAAGTGAATGATGAAATTGGCCCATATTTTAAAACTTTTAAAGGATTAAGGCAAGGAGATGCTATGTCACCTTTACTGTTTGACATAGTTGCTGATGCCTTAGCCATTTTAATGAGCAATGCCCTAGAGCATGATTTGGTCAAGGGGGTATTAAATAAAAAATAATAAAAAGGGATTAATATGTTACAATATGCTGATGATACTATATTCTTGATCAAAGATGAAGTGGAAAGTGTGAAAGTGTGAAAAACCTTAAACTCATACTAGGGACTTTTGAACAAATGTCTGGGCTTAAAATCAATTTTCATAAAAGTGAATTGTTGTTATTTGGCAAGGTTAAAAAGAAACAAATGATTTATCAAGAAATTCTGACATGTAAGATGGGGGGTTTACCCATTAAATACTTGGGAATGCCTGTGTCAGAAACCAGAATCAGGAACACACACTGGGATTGTGTAACTGACAAAATTGAAAAAAGATGTGGATGTTGGCAAGGGAAGTTGCTGGGCTCCATTGCAGGTAGAATCACCTTGGTGCAAGCATGCCTGACTAATATACCTCTATTCATGATGTCCTTCTATGCTGTGCCTAAAGGAATTATAAAGAAAGCAGATTTTTTTAGATCCAGATTGGTATGGCAAGAAGATGAGAATGTCAAAAAATATCACTTAGTAAATTGGAAAGAATGTTGTTTACCTAAAGAAATGGGTGGTTTGGGGATACTCAATCTTGAAATAATGAATATTGCACTTCTTGCTAAATGGTTTTGGAAAATGGAAAATGGAAAAGGTCTGTGGCAGGATATTTTGGATGAAAAATATAGAAAAGGTGGTTGTTTGGCTCTAGTGAGCAAGAGGCCTGGGGACTCCCAATTTTGGGCCAACTTGCTGAAAATTAAGGAGATCTTTTACAAATTTATTAAGAAAAAGGTGGGGGATGGGAGAAACACTAGGTTCTGGGAAGATTCCTGGGTTGATGATAAACCTTTGAGAGAGACTTATCCTAGATTATATGATATAAGTTTTGACCACAATATTACTGTGGAAGAGGCCATACAGAAAGGGTGGCATGGGTTCAAATTTGGAAGGACCTTATATGAGGAGACTCTGGGACTTTGGAACTGCCTCAAAAAGAGATGTGAGGAAATTCAAATGCAGGGAGGGACAGACAAAATTCTCTGGACCCTCACTGCTGATTATAAGTTTTCTGTGGGATCCTTATATAGGAAATTGGTTGCTGTAGGGGTGAAATTCCCATAGAAATACCTATGGAAATCCAAGTTACCTGCGAAACTGAAAGTGTTTTATGGTTAGTTAATAAAAAAAGTATTCTAACTAGGGATGTGCTGTTAAAAAAATTTGGAAAGGAGGAAAAGGTTGTGTTCTTTGTGGGAAAGATGAATCGATTGATCATCTGTTCTTTTCTTGTTCTGCTGCTTCATTGCTATGGAGTTTGGTCAGATGTGTGTGTGGATTTAAAACTGTTCCATCAAATGTAAAAGACTGTTTTGGGGACTGGATTAGGAAATTTAATAAAGATGACAAGAAAATGGTTCTGGTGGGGATTCCAGCCCTGTTTTGGGCAATTTGGAAAAGCAGGAATGCAATTATCTTTGAGAGAAAAAGGATAAATGATCCTTTCTGTATTGTCAAAATGATGTGCAGGTGGTTAACTGACTGGTCCATTCTGCAGATAAAGGAGTCGTCAAGAAAAATGTTGGAGCTGGGAGCAAGGGTGCTAGAACGGGCAGCAAGTGAGGTGTTCACAGCCAAGCAAGGGTGGAAAATCAACGTGGCGAGGCTGGAATGAAGAATCTCTTGTGGTGGTGGACCCGAAGTTTGTTGTTCTTGTTGCTAGGCTCCTTCAGTGGGTTGAACTCTGGCGTAGTTGGTGAACTTGGTTGGGTGTTTGCGCGGTTTGGCTGGCCTGTGTTGGCCTTCTGGGATGTTATGGCGTCGTATTGGTTTCGTTTCGATCTTTTCTTTTCAGTTTGACCTCGGTTGTGGAACTTAATGGTTTTCAGTAATGAAAATCGGAAGGGGCAAGCCCTTCTTTGATTAAAAAAAAAAGAAGAGACCCGAAGCTCATACTGACGCGGGGACTCCATCAGACCCGAAATCACTCCACGACAATAGCCAAGCGTGTTTTTCGTTCTATACTGAAAAAGTATCAGGCCACACCAAAATAAATCTGAAACTTGGGCGATATTCCAGGCAACAGAAATCTGAAACTAGGATGGCATATACCGGTCCCATTAACCCAATCCAGAGCCGATCGACAAATACATTAGAGAAATTTAACCAGGGTGCATACTGATCTGAGGTCACGTCCAAACAACAAGCACGAAAATTTGTTAATGAACGACACTGGTTCACTTCACCATGCATGCGGTAGGTTCCTACTATGCATTTCTCTCGCCAGCTTTCAGATCTGACTCGCAGACTTGACCAGCTCCTCGCTGAATTCCCAGAGTTGCTTCGCCAAGACGTCGCTCTCTGCCAATTTGCTCGTCTTCTCCTCGTTGCAGTCGGCAAAGTATTTGCCTGTCACCCCCTTCAGCTGATGGCTGAGCCCTACATAGCAGGTGGTTGCTGCTCCCTGGAAATGAAACCGCAAGGGATCCTCTATTAGACAAGGTTAAATTTCAGAAGAAAGTACATAATGAAATATTCGTTACTCGAAGGTAAGGGTAGAGAAGAACCTGGGGTACATTCTTCCAGATCAAGCAAGTGGGAACTTGAATTGCCTCTGCAAGTTAAAAAGAAAATTCATAATGCCGTGGACATAAAGGAACTTGTCAGAAAATGGTGCATAGCTAAAGCTTGATGACATTCGACAAATACATCCACAAGAACAGAAAGATGAGCCGGGGAGCGTACTCATGACAGCATAGGAGTGCCTCATCAAATTGGTCATGATTACTCCAGGATGAAGGGAATTAACCGTGATGTTAGCTCCTTCCTCCTGTTTCAGTAACATACAGTTTATATGGTGCGTGAGAATAGTTTGAAAGTTCCTCCCAATTAGTATGAGCCCTCTATTACCTTGCTCTTCCTCTGAATAAATAAGGTAATAGGCGAAATATAGAGAGAGAGAAAAAAAAAATACCATGAGCCGTCTAGAGAGCTCTTTAGCGTGTAGTATGTTTGCAAGCTTGGATTGTCCATAGGCCGACCTTATGTCGAATCTGCCAGTGCAAAAATCATCAGTAACAGTTCAAGATCTTCTGCAATTCCAAAGAACCACAAGAAACCCATACGTTTTCTTGTCATTGAGTTGATCGAACTGAATCACCTTCGGATAGGTATGCTCGTGGGCGATCGATGACAGATTCACGATGCGGCCCTCGATGCCCGTAGACTCAGCAGTGGCTTTCATGTTGTCAAGCAGCAGGTTGGTCAGCAGAAAGTGACCTGATTGAGCGCAATATGTGGCACAAATGTTAGTATCAAGATACTGATACTGTCAGTTCTCTAAATATGGAAGTGTTGACTACTGCTGCTATACCAGAGACAATAAATACCTAGGTGATTGGTGGCGAACTGCATCTCGACCCCATCTTCGGACAGCTGGAAAGGGCAGAACATCACCCCTGCATTGTTTCTGCAGAGCACAAGGGTTTTGGACGGCTTGGTTATTCAGAGCAGCGTACATATGGAAGAAGAAAATGGAGTATCATAAGATCGAGATGAAGGGGTTGGCTGGTTTTGGTTACATCAAGATGTTGAGAGGGAGGTTCATGGAGTTGAACTGCTCGGCGAAGGCCCTGACGGACTTGAGGGAGCTGAGGTCGAGCTTCAGGACGTCGACGCGGGCGGTCTGGTTCGCCTCCGTTATGCTCTTCTTCGCCTCCGACGCGGCCTCCGTGTTCCTCGCCGCGATGATGACATGGGCTCCTCTAAGGGCGAAGACCCTCGACGTCTCCAGGCCGATGCCGCTAGGCCCTCCTGTAAATAAAACACGAGTTTCAGAGTTTCCTAGCCCTGAATGGACCCTTCGAACATGCTACAAAAGGGATTGATTGTGACAGAACTTGAAGTTTACTCGAACATATTGATACTGTAGTTGTTACCTGTGATAACGACGGTGAGATTTGAGGCGTCGACGCCGTCGGTGACCTGCTCCGCCGTGGACGCCGACCCGAACCCGCTGGCGCCCGGCCTGCCGGTGATGAGCGACAGGAGACCCATCTGATGATTCTCAGCTCCCGACACTAGCAAGCTCGTGATGTGGTAGGAGTAACATATGCGGCATGCACATTTAACAGCATAAGCGTGGAACAGGTCAAAAACACTGTCATAACAGAACAAGAGGCAGTCGATGAGCATCATTCTGGGCATCATCGAGCCTCATCCGCTGGACGGATTGATCGATGGATAGATCACTTTTGTCTACTGATTCGCTAATCCTTCTTCTTAGTCCACCTGGAGAAAAGCCGTCCGATCGTGTTAGTTTATACATTTCGTTGTTTCTGCCAGCACGGGCGAGGGATCCTATATGGCGCGCTGGGCGTTCGTATGGGCCAGCCCAATTTCCGGTTTTCTTATTCCTTTTTATTTCCAGTTTTACTTTTCCTTTTCTCCTTTTCTTCTTTACTTTTTCATATTTTTTGCGAATTTCCTTTTCAAATTCGTGAACGTTTTTTCCATCGATTTGAAAAATGTTTATCAATGTAGAAAAGTTAAAATTTTAAAAAAATGTTCATCAAATTCAGTATTTTGTTCATAGGATTTAAAAAATATTCATCAAAATCCAAAAATTGCCCATTGAATTTAAAAAAAATCAAATTCTAAATTTGTTCGTTGATATAAAAATGTTCATCTAATTTCATAAAATAAACGTTCTTGAGTTCAAATTTTGTTCTCAACATCAAAAAATGTTCATCAAATTTAAATTTTGTTCATCAAATACAAAAAAATGTTCACAGTTATTCAAAAAACTGGTCATCTTTTATTGTTAAAACAAAAAATGGTCATTCTTTCCAAATCTCGAACATTTTTAGAATTCAAGAACTGTTTTTGAATTCAATGAACAGTTTTTCGAATCCATGATAATTTATCATTTCCCAAAAAAAAAATTAAATCATGCAAAAGTTTGAATTCACGAAAATTCCACAATTTGTAACTTTTTTAAATCCCAAATTATTTTTTAAAAGGAAAGAACTTAAAACAAAAAAACAAGGCACTTCCCGCCCCGCACATGGGTCAGCCCACGAGGGCGCGTGGGGGAGCGGGGAGAGGGGGTGCTCGCTCCCTGGTTCCCTGGTGCATACAACGCGAAATAGGAGGTCCCAGCATGGGCACGGGTCGGCAGGCGGAGAGTTTTCCTCCACGGCGCAGGCCCAACACATAGATGCTCCAAATTAGCTGCAAAAATTTACTTGGTTGGAAGTAGGACGTAGACATTGAACTGCGGGAGCCATATCTCATATCAAGCAAGGCAGAAGCTACTCTCGCGTCAAGACTCTACAGTGACGAGCTGGCCCATTAGAGAAAACTTAGGGCATGTACAATGGTGCTATCTTAGTAGTGCCACGTAGGATAGATGATGAGGTGGAGGAGAGAGAACTCATAAGAAAAGGCTTGTCTTATCTTATTTAAGAGAAGACAAGAGGTGATATCTTAGCACAATATGTCTCACCACATGTTTAGGAATTGCTAGTTATTGAAGATAAGGCGAAGAGATGATCCATTGTAGATAAATTTTTTTGTCATCTCTAGATCACATGCAAGACTTAAGATAAGACTATCTTATTAACCATTGTACATGCCCTTAAACAAGAAATGTTGCAGCAAAAGGACGGGCCAGCCCATTAGAGAAAAAAATCAACGCTCGTCAGAGGGATTCGATCCCAGGTCTCGTGGGGGATTAGTAGAGCTGCTAACCATTGTGCTCGCATTCAATTCTTGGTGAAATGTAGGGTGCGTCCTACTTGAGGCGACACGATCCGGTTTTGCACTGTTTTTTTCTCTTTCTTTCTTTTTACTGTTTTTTCTCCTGTTTTTTCCTTTGTTTTCAATGGGTTTCTTTCTTTCTTTTTTTTGTTTTCCTTCTATTTTTTTATTTCGTTATTCTTTGTTTCCCTTCGGTTTTGTTTGTTTGTTTCTCGTTTTTCAACGGATTTTCTTGTTTTCTCTCGGGTTTTATTTAGTTTACTATACCCATTTTTGGACATATATAATTTTTTTCTAAAACATGCTTAACATTTTTTAAATGCTTGATTAATATTTTTCAAATATCAGATTAATTGTTTTGCGATACAATGTCAATTTTTTTAAACAAACTCAGGACTTTTTTGAACTGCTTGATAAACATTTTTTAAATGCAAGTTCAACATTTTTTAATACATGGTCAACATTTTTTTATACAGCTTTAACATTTTATGAATACATGGTCGACATTTTTTTTCTGTACACACTTAACATTTCTTAAATACAAGTTTATGATTTTTTGAATACATGGTAAAAAAATCTATAAACAGTTAATATTTTTAAAATAGAGGTTTAACATTTTTTGAATACAGAGTAAAAAATCTGTACACATTTGACATTTTTCATATACAAGTTTAACATTTTTTTAATACATGGTCAACATTTTTTCTATACACATTTAACATTTTTCAAATGCTTTATCAACATTTTTTAAATGCAAGATTGTCACTTTTTTAATTCATGGTCAACATTTTTTCTGTAAACATTTAACACTTTCAAATGCTTGATTAACATTTTCCAAATACTTGTTTAACATTTTTTCCAGATGCTTGATTAACATTTTTTATATACATGTTCAACTTTCTTGACACACATTATATATTTTTTGTATACATTTTTGGTATGCATGGTCAACATTTTTTATACACACATTTAACATTTTGCAAATGCATTGTTAACACTTTTCAATACATTATGTAAATGCCTAAAGTCAGACATGCAGCGCAGCTGGGCCTGCCCATCTCACGTTGCCCTTACACGAGGGTTCCATAGGTCTTGCAATAAGCGAGACATAGGGGCACCCATATTGAACTGACATTGCGTCTCCAAACTGAACGAATTGTCTGCTCGTTCGAGCGAATGCAGGGACAGAGCCAGTGGGGGTTGAGCTGGGGCCATGGCTCCCACAATGGCAGACTTTTTCTTCAAAACAAACATATATTGTTAGTTCAA